TTCTGCTCCTAACCTGGGCTAATGAAGACGGGCATACGCCATACAGTGTGCTATGAGGGAAATTTTGCCCGGACAGCGGCACTACGGCCTACTCTTATATCGAATTCCAACTGCCAAGGCATGCGTCAGAGTAGTCAATGTCTCGACATAAAAGCCGAGAAATATGAACAGTTACAAATTAGTGAAAGTCGCATCCAAATTGGTTGAAAAACGAAAAAATTCTCTCTGATGTCTAATATAGGTCTATTGTCGTTGATGACATCACTTCCTGTTATCATTTTCAAAGTTTTAGTTATTCACCTTTTGTACTAAATACCTTTCGGATGGTATAGAGTTTTATTTTGTAGAACATGTACTTTTTCCAAACACATGAGAAAAAAAATAATAATCTGAACAAAAACAATAGTTTTTATACGCCCACATTGAAATTGCTTGTGGATGCTCTAGAGGCTGAAGTTAATATCCGATTGACTTTAAATTTATACACAGTGTTTAAGGTCATGAGACGAACAAGCCTATTGATGTTCAGTGATTTCCGATAATTACTGCCAGAGTTATGGCCCTTTATCACTTCAAAATGGGTGGGTGCTCTAGAGGTCAAAGTTGATGATGACTGCCAGAGTTATGGCCCTTGATCACTTCAAAAAATCTTGTAAATGCTCTGTAGGCTAAAGTTAATATCCAATTGACTTTAAATTGATACACAGTGTTTGAGGTCATGAGACGAAGAATCATTGATTTTCAACGATTTCCGATAATTACTGCAAGAGTTATGGCCCTTGATCACTTTGAAAAATCTTGTGACGCTCTAGAGGCTAAAGTTATCCGATTGACTTCAGATTGATACACAGAGTTTAAAGTCTTGAGACAAACAAGTATATTGATTTTCAATGAATCTTGATATAAACATATGTGACAACTCTTGTTTACTGCCCGGACGATTTAGCTGCTGTGGGCGTATGTTTCGTTGCCTGGCAACCTATCTTTATACTACGTAAAACTAATAATCCGAACAAAAATAATAGTTTTTATACTAGGTAAAACTAATAATCTGAACAAAAACAGTAGTTTTTATACCATGTAGTAGTAGTATAAATACTAATAATCTTAGTAGTAACAATAGTCTTTCACCAAAGCCTAGTATGGCCTCTAATAGTTTAAAGAATCCTCCAGCATTGCATAAGAATAATTCATATGTGAGCAGTGGAAAAATGAAGTCAAAATGTGGCAGTTTATAACTGAATTAGAAAAGAGAACCAGAAGTTGCCAAGCAAGATACGCCCACATTTTGCAAGAGATGGATAGAGAAAGCGATTTTTCGTACAATTAGGGCCCATAATTCAGGAAGCTATGGTCTGAAATGCGCGAATATTGAGAGGATCTGCGATATTTGGGATATAAAGATATAATTTAAGTTTCATCGAAATGGGATAAAAATTTTGACCACCAGCTAAAAATTCAGGAAGTTACAATCCGACATGCACGAATATCGAAAGGAACCAAGATCTTTGGGTTATAACGATATATTTCAAGTTTCACCAAAATCGGATAAAATTGTGACTTATAGAGGGTCCACAACCTTGATATACCATATATTTATACTATTTGTGTACGAGGTGCGATCATTATGTCCGGCAATTTTGGTTCAATTTTTATGTGATTCGAACTCAACCATTACATTAGGGTGTAAAGTTAATATATTCAATCGGTTTTTTTTAAATCGGTATATGCAATTACCGAATGGAACCAAATCATTCTGATATCAATATAAATTTAAAGTTTCATCAACATCGGATCAAAATTGTGGCCTCTAGAGGCTCCAAAATCTTAATATACCATATAATTTACACTATCTGCGTACAAGGGGCAACCATTTTGTCCAGCAGTTTTGGCCTGATTTTCACAAAATTCGAACTCAACCATCACTAGGGTGTAACAAAGATATATTCAAACTTTAAATCGGATAAAAATTGTGGCTCCTAGAGAGACCACAAGCTTAAAACGTGATTTTTCGTATAATCAAGGGTCATAATTCAGGAAGTTACGATCCGAAATGCGCAAATATCAAGAGGAACCAAGATCCTTGGGTTATAAACATGTATTTCACAATCGGATCAAAATTGCAGCCACTAGAGGGTCCACAACCTTGATATACCATATATTTATACTATTTGTGTACGAGGTGCGATCATTATGTCCGGCAGTTTTGGTTCAATTTTTATGTGATTCGAACTCAACCATTACATTAGTGTGTAAAGGTAATATATTCAATCGTTTTTTTTTTAAATCGGTATATGCAATTACCGAATGGAACCAAATCATTCTGATATCAATATAAATTTAAAGTTTCATCAACATCGGATCAAAATTGTGGCCTCTAGAAGCTCCAAAATCTTAATATACCATATAATTTACACTATCTGCGTACAAGGGGCAACCATTTTGTCCAGCAGTTTTGGCCTGATTTTCACAAAATTCGAACTCAACCATCACTAGGGTGTAACAATGATATATTCAAACTTTTAATCGGATAAAAATTGTGGCCCCTAGAGAGACCACAAGCTAAAAACGTGATTTTTCGTATAATCAAGGGTCATAATTCAGGAAATATGCGCAAATATCAAGAGGAACCAAGATCCTTGGGTTATAAACATGTATTTCACAATCGGATCAAAATTGCAGCCACTAGAGGGTCCACAACCTTGATATACCATATATTTACACTATTTGCATACGAGGGGGGTGGCCATTAGAAGTCAACAACCATCATTAGGGTGTAATTGTGACCTTTAGAGGTCCATAACCTTGATATACCAAATGTTTACAACATTTGCACATGGGGGGGGGGGGGGGCGGCTATTTTTTCTGACAGTTTTGGTCCGATTTTCACAAAATTCGAAGTCAACCATCATTAGGGTGTAACGGTGATACATTCAAACGTTTTTTGAAATCGGATAAAAATTGTGCCCTCAAGATTGACCACAAGCTAAAAACACGATTTTTCGTACCATCAAGGGCCATAATTCAGGAAGTTACGATCCGATATATGCAAATATTCAAGGGCACCAAGATCTTTGGGTTATAAACACGAATTCCAAGTTCCATCAAAATCCGATAAAGATTGACCCCTTGAGTGTCCGCAAGCTAATTTGGCCGCAATCATTCTTTTCTCCGAGTTATTGAACGCAAGTAATTATACTGTTAGATACAACAGGTCTGATTTTAACATGAGACTTTTAGTATGTAGAACTTCAGATGAAAACCCTATTATGCTCTATGCTGATCCCTAGGTTAAGAGACCCCCAGTTGTGAGCAAAAGCATACGGGCTCGATGAATGTAAGCGGAACAGAACCTGAAATGCCCCCCAAAATATTTCTGGTTACAAATGGTACAGCCGGTTGTTTGCGAACAGCCCCCCCCCCCCCAAGATAATTTGTAAAATTTGACGAACACAGACTCGTTTTCCTGGCGCGAATCGTGATAGTTGGAACCTAGCACTAAGACAGTTGTATTAAAAAATTCTATTTCTATGTAACACCTCACTGGTTTGTGCAAATAAAATTAATTGTTAGACCATTTATGCCCTATCTTTAAAAATAAGATATTTGAGTAACGTCCTTGTTGAATAAGTATGCCAATAATATATACTCTTCAAAAAAAAGTAGGGGATATTGAAATGGGCACAAAAATTGAACTTATACAAGAGCTAGTGATACTCGTTTTAAGTATCGGATAAAACTTTTGATCTCTAAATGGTCCATAACCTTGGTATTGTATGGAGAGTTGCCATTTGACTGAAAGTTTCAGTCCGATTTTCAGGAAATTCATAATTATGATGTAATGCCGACACATTTGAACGGTTTTGGAAATAAGATATAAATGGTTTTCTATATCAATTGATGACCACCAGCTGCCAGGCAGGCTACGCCCACAGTTTGCAAGAGATGGATAGAGAACAAGCTAAAAACAAACAGGATTTTTTGTACAATCAGGGCAATAATCCAGAAAGTTATGGTCTGAAATGCGCAAATATCAAAAGGGACTGAGAAGATCTTTGGGATATAAAGATATGTTTTAAGTTGCATCAGAATCGGATAAAAATTGTGACCGCTAAAGGGTAGACAATATACTTTTACACAATTTTGTTGGGCAGTTTCATTTCAATTTTCCCGAAATTCAAATTCAACCTTCATTATGGTGAAATGGTGAAATATTTGAACGGTTTTTAAAATCGGAAAAAAATTGTGACCTCTAGAAAATCTGCAAGCTAAAAATGCGATTTTTCGAACAATCAGGAGCCATAATCCAGGAAGTTAAGTTTGGGTATCCGTGATTATCAAACGGATCCAAGATTTTAGCGTGTAATGGTGATATATTCACACATCTTTTTTTTTTTTTTTAAATCAGACAAAATTGTGACCTCTACAGGGACTACAAGCTAAAAAGGTATTTTCCGTACAATCAGGGGCCATAACCTTCGACAACCTTTGCATATTATACTTTTACACAATTTGCGTACAAAGACGGTCAACAACTTTGAAATATCAGATGTTACACACTATTTGCGTACGAGGGGCGTCCATTTTGTCCGTCGGTTTTAGTCCGATTTTCACGAAATTCAAACTGAGCCAGAATTACGATGTAACGGTGATATTTTTTAACTTTTTTTTAAAATCAGATAATAATTGTGACCTCTAGAGGGAGCTCAAGCTAAAAACGTGATTTTTCATACAATCAGGGGCCAGAATCCATGGAGTTACGGTTCGATACATGCCAATATCGAAAGGAACCGACATCTTAGCGAGATAAACCTATAATTCAAGTTTCGTTGAAATAGAATAAAAATTGTGACATGTAGAGTGTCCACAAACAATTGTGGACGGATGGACAGACAGGGGCGACGACAATATACTTCCACATGAAAATGTGGGCATATAAAAAACCCTGTAGCTTCTTGAACTTTAGCCTGATCATAAAAAAATTAAGAACATTTACATACCTGACCGATGTATCATCAGCATAGTCATCAAGCAATCAGAACTTCACCTGTTCTTTATGTTGTAGGGCTCAAAATATGGATATATTAACCACACATGTACAAGACATGCCCATATTTTCCAAGAACTGTGGGGAAAAAACAAAGCATAGGTGAATCTATCAGCAATGATAACCAGCAGACCTGTCAACTCTACCGCATCACGCAGTAAAGTGCCGCGAAAAGGCCTCATGTACCGCTCTACTGCCCGGTAAGAGATATCTACCGCATTTTCAAACAAAGAGTTTTTTAATATTCTCGCCAAAACTATGGAACTAAGGGAAGCAACTCTTTGCATGTAAACAATAATGATTGCGACTTTCGGTTATTAACATCGATTTGGGATATTGTAAGGTGTAATTTAGCTAAGATTTTTTCTCAAATTCTTTTCAACCTATTTTAGAGTTAATAAAGCGGATATAATTATTGGCACGTGTTCCAAATACTCTTAAAATGCGTAGCGATAAACTAAACAAATAGCGACCAATTTACAGTGGCAGTGGTACGTCGCACGTACGTCACAAGGAATCAAGATATTTTTAAAATCATGCTAACACTAACACAGACAGCTAAGTTAAAACAAAAGAGAAGTGGCAGTGGTAGGCCTACTGCCAGTAGTTACTAATTATTTCTTTCTATAGGCTACATATTCAATTTTGGTTTAATTACATAGGCCTAATGATAAATAATTTTAGATAAGATATGGTTACCATTGTTTGTGTACATTTTATCTAATTACCCATTTAATGCAATTTTTGTATTGTTAATTGTTGGACCTGCAGTTCAGCGTATCATTTCTAAATTAATTACCCTTGGAAGTGCAAATTTACGCTTTTTTGGGAATCTGCCAAATCATGGTTTCTACTGCATTTTTTACACTACCCTACTGCATTTCAGCAGTACCTTGAAATAAATGATTAATTGTGCTGTAATTAAATAGAGATGTTGATAGTTGACCAGAAAATAAAAGAGTGAAGTTAGTAACTAGGATAAACAAAGCAGGTTTCTAAGACACTTAAATCTACTCACTATCTTACAACAGCATCTTTAAACTAAACTAAAGTAATTATAACTACTGGAAATACAAGGCTAGCTGGATAAACAGGACAATGGAAACTGACTAAAATCTTTAAACAGAATATAACACCCTACTAAAATAGTTAAAGAGAATATAGCACCCTACTACACTATCCCCCCAGCACAAGAAGTGGCGTCCTAACCAGTCTATGATCCACCTTAATAAAAACAACAATATACATATAATACAAAAACCAAATAACCAAATCATAATCCATAAACAAATCCAAGTCGTCATCACCTAAAACTGTAAGCAACTACATACATTTGTAATATAACCAACCTAATTAATAATGCAGAAATCAATTATAAAAGTAGATATAGTCACTGAAAATCAAACCCAAACAGTATTCCCTAAAACCCAAGCATCCGATTTCATCCATCCCGATGGTTTTCGTTGACGTTTTAAAGGAACAGGACTTTCTGACGAATGAGAATCTGACACAACTGGAATAGAAATATCCGGTGGTAAAATATCGGGAGCTTTTTGCAAAGAAATATTAATATCAGTAGAACAGTGACCATCAGAAACCAAATTACTATCGTTAATATTAACCACAGACCCATCTGCATCAGAAGACTGAGAAACACCACTACTTACATCAGAAAGAGGAATGACATCACTATTTACATCACTAGTACTGACCCGAGTTATAGGTTCTTCAGAAATACTGCAATCAATTGACAAAGTAGTATCAAGTGACACTTTAGATCGGGGAGCTGGAATAGGGCGCCCTGACGAACAAATAGGTAAGAGAAGATTTCTGTGAAGGGTGCGTCTTTCGGAAGTGCCATCTTTTTGAACAGTGTAAACTGGAATGCTGAAATCAGGCTGTGAAACAACAGTATAACAAATATTTTCCCACTTATCAGCCAATTTATTTTTACCTCTAATTTGAACATTTCTTACCAAAACAATATCTCCATAATGAAGGTTAGCGCCTTTAACTTTTGTATCATAGTGAAACTTGTCTATGTTGAGCCTTTTCTATGTTTTGTTTAGCAATTTCATTAACCAAATTGAATTTATCTTGCAGCTGAGAAGCAAATTGTGTGTATGAAGAATTGATATCAGAAGAATAATTGTCACCAAGAATTATATCCACCGGAAGTTTTGGATTTCTACCAAACATGAGATAAAAAGGAGAATAAGAAGTGGACTCCTATTTTGTTGAATTATATACATATACTAAAAATGAGAGTCTTTCCAGTGAACTTTCTGATCTTCTGTGAGTGTACCAAGCATATTTAATAAAGTTCTGTTAAAACGCTCACATAACCCATTACCCATGGGATGATAGTGTTGTTCTAGATTTATTTATACCTAAGATACTGCATACTTTAATAATATTCGATTCAAAATTTCGACCCTGATCAGAATGAAGTTGTGAAAAAATGCCATATGGTAAGAAGAAATGTTGTATTAAGATTTTAGCGGTGGTTTTAGCGGTCTGGTTTTTTGTTGGTACTGCTACAGCAAACTTTGTGAAATGATCCGTTATAATTAAAATATTCTCAATACCACCTTTAGATGGTTCCAAAGAAAGAAAATCAGTGCAGACTAGTTGTAAAGGTTCTGATGTTGAAATACCGACTAAAGGAGCACGAATATTCTGTTGGGGAGACTTTCGACGGATACATCTGTCACATATACGAACATAATTTTCTACATCTCTACACATATGTGGCCAATAAACTCGAGATTTAACCAAATCCAAGGTTCGATCTCTACCCATATGACCCAAATTGTCATGAAGTGCAGACAATACCAGACGACGAAGAGAAACAGGTAATACAATTTGTAAAATAGGGTCAGATGAAGATGAAAACTTTCTATATAAAATATCTTTTATAATTAAGTTATCCCAGGAACAAAGTATAGCAGCTGTATCCTTATCAACACCATGAAAATCAGTAGGTTTACATCCATTTCTAACTGCTTGAATTATAAACTGAATCCCTACACAATCTTGTTGTGCCTTGTAAACTTTTGACTTATCCATTAAATTTGAATATTCCACAGGAACACTAATAATAAAAGAAACAAAACAATCTAGAACATTCTGACTAAAAGAAAAAGTTTCAATTTTACCAAGATCAACGTCAGTGAAATTAATTATAGCAGATACAACTGTATTATCTAGACTTGAAACTGGAAGTCTTGATAAAGCAGTTAAAGGTTTAGCTATCCTTGAGTAATCTTTAATGTATCTTATAAAATAACCACAAAAACCTAAAAAGCTACGAATTTCAGAAACATTTGAAGGAATCGGCCAGTTCTTAAGTGTAGAAATTTTGTCAGGGTCAGCTTTTACACCATCTTCTGAAATAATATGCTTCCTGAGACGAGAAAATACGGACCCTAAACGAATAAGATGTTCCTCGAATGTTTTGGAAAAAACAATAATGTCATCTATATATGTAAGACAATGAAACAGATGAATATCCGCCATACACCGCTCTAAACAACGCTGGAAAGAACTAGGCGCGTTGGTTAATTCGAAGGGCATAGCATTAAACTCCCAAAAGCCTAAATTGCCAGTTGTAAATGCTGTCTTGGGTTTATCTTCTTCAGCCATTTCTATCTGCTAGTACCCACTTTTTAAATCTAATGAAGAAAAATATTTAGAACCATGAAGCGAATCAAGAGTCTCTTCTATCCTGGGAAGTGCATATGAATCATGGACAGTTCTGGAATTTAGTTTTCGGTAGTCCACACAGAAACGTAGTGAACCGTCTTTTTTTCGAACAAGATCTACTGGAGAAGCAAAGGGACTATTTGAAAACGTCTTTATAACTATGTAAAAGATCTTTAAGTTGGTTAGCTTCTTCTGTACATTTTGAATGAATAGACTGAAAATTAAACAAATCATCAAACGGCTTTACTGAAGAATTATTTGATGATAAAAATGGAGAATTATTTACGACTTCAACTTGCTGAAGTTGACAAAGAACTGCTTTACCAGGAATAGTAATGGGTCTGTCTGAAGAATTTGTGATGTTAATTCTCACTTTATTAGATGACTGTAAAATTACATTTAACTATACCAGGAACAACATGAAGAGAACCAGGAAGTGATATATCATCTAGCGCCATATAACATTTACCGGGTAATGGTTTAGTTAATTTTGAAGTACCAGCCACAAGCATTGACGAATTTGCAGGAATCTTCACCGGATTTGAACTGGACTTTAAAAAACAAGGAACTTTACTAGATTGAACTTGTGTAGTTAAAAGTGAAAATGTGGAATTCCAAACATCTGAATCTGTTGATGTGTTACATAACCTTGAGAGAATATTTGTACCCACTAACATTGGAGTCTTAGAATTAAAAGAATTTGTAGGTACAACTAAAATTAAATCTTGCAAATGTTCACTACTATCAGGAATTCTAACAGGAACTGAAATATATCATAAGTATGAAACTTTAATCCCTCCTACGGTACGAACTTCTAATAAATCGTTAAGCGGGTAAATTTGAAAATTAGGTAAAAAACGACGATGAAAATCAGCAGAAATGGTAGAAACCATTGAACCGGAATCCAATAATGCAGAACATAAAATATCATTAATTAAAATATGAGCAACGTTCGATGAACCAACTAAATCGGAAATAAAAGATGAGGCATTCTGTTGACAAGAAACATTAGGACTTACCGACCGCCCCGTGGAATAAGTCCTTGCGAGTTTAAAGAACACTCGATCCCCTCTTCTGTGACCAGGTTGTTGACAAGCGTAACAAATAGGAGTTACCCTGGGACGATAATCGCTTGTATTTAAAAACTGATTCGGTGGGCGAAATGTGGGATTGAACAAAGGAGGAGGAGGAACATGAACTTGACGAGGTGGATCTCTCATATTCGAAGAATTGAACTGTGTAGGTGGCTGTCTATAGTACCTCTGTCGTGGTTGCTGCATCTGGTGCTCCATATCAGATATACGAGAATTAACTGTTTTCAATTGCTCTGACAAACCGGAAATTTTATTTTGAAAAGTGTGTGAAGAACTTGAAGTTGTAGATGTTAAATAAAATGATTACCCAGAACTAGCGAAATTAGAAGTGACTGGAAATTATGCATCTCTTCTTCAGCTTTCCTAACTGCAGTCATTAAAACTGAAAATGAAACATCAGCATCAAGAATGTGCCTAGTATTAGATTTGACTTGTGAATTGATCAGGCCATGCCAAAATCTGTCCTTCAATATCTTATTTGAAGAATGTTCAACTAGAATACCAGCATTAATTAATTTTGAAAGAATATGTTTGATTTTACATGCCCATGAGGAAATGGATTTTCCTGCTGCTTTGCAGTGTATAGTTTATTCATCAAGACATCTACAGATAAAATATCAACAAATAATGGGTCAAAGTGCATAAATAAATCAGTTATTGTTTGAGGATTAATACCAATTAAAAATTCAGCAGCTGTACCTCGTGCGGCTCTACGAATGGCATTAATAATAGATGGGATAGAATATTGGCCTTCTCTCTCCAATCCGACAATCTCCAGACGCCATTGATAAGAAACGTCTCCTTTGTTGCTGTCTCCGGAAAATGAAGATAATCGTGGTGAAGATGAAAAAGGCAAGTATGAACAAGTGGGCATTTCAAATCTGGAAACTGAAGAAGATCTTTGAAATGTAGTAATTGGATTCATTTGAACAGATGAAGAATTTTGCTGTAGTGTATGGGGTATGGAAACAGAAGATGCTGATGCCGGATAACTCTGCACTGGTGTTGTATTCTGAAAATTTGATGGTTGACATCTCAATCGATGATGGTGTGGAATTAACATAAAAAGTCTCATTGCCTGATCTTGGGGTTCTTCGCGAAGTAGAATTTCTAACAGTGGAAGTTGTGTGAGCACCTTGGAGTTGAAACCGTGCATGACAAATTTAACAAAGATGAAGATTGATATGAAATGAAATGGAGTTTAACGTCCTACTGTTCTGCTCCTAACCTGGGCTAATGAAGACGGGATGAAGATTGATGAGGACGAGTATCAATCAAAGGGCCATATACTAGTACATCCTTACAAAACTTCATGTTGCATTTCCAAATTTAATTGCAACATTACCACTTTTAATTCATTAGTAATTGAACGAGTTGCGTCTTCATTTGCATTTGCTTCTGCCATTGTGTAAACTAAGCACCGATGTAACAACAAAATATAAATGAATAAATACCAAATAAATGACCTAAAAAAAATTTGGAAATTCACATTACACACCATGTAGATGAAAATATCTACGTGAAAATCAAAATCAAAATGTAGATGAAAATATCTAAGTGAAAATCAAAATCAAACAAAATTTTTGGACTGGAATGTGAAATTCGCTACCGAAAACAATCTACAAAGTTGAAGTCACAACAACAAAACCAGAATATATATCAAAATTAACACCGAAAATCCAAGTCCAAAAGAAATACCCAACTGAAACTTTTCAAACCTCTTCAGAAATGAAAATACAAGAAAACAAAAACAATCAAATACTGGAACGATAAGGTTAAATGAAAATCAAGCAAGTCATGAGCAATCAGTTTACCTTCATTAATTAAAGTCAAGTTACAAGGAAAGAAATGCTGAGGAGAAATAGAAATGGAAAGTCAAGTGCAAGTGTTTTGATAATGTTAAGTTATGGAACTATGTAGAATGTAAACAAATAAAAAATGGCTGTCAATGTCAATAGGTCAATGTCACAGTCAGTAGGTCAATGTCAATGTAACCTATCACCTATAAGAGAAATTTAAAGCTACCCTAATTATAAAATACATATGTCTGTTTTACACAGAATTTAATATTATAATGTTATGTAATTAATAGCACCCTAATAATTATGATTCCAATGATTTAAATATTTATGTAAGGTTGATATTTGTAATGTTAGAAATGTATTTTACCAAATAACCATTGAATGATTGTACTAATATGACCAATGAATTTTATTACTACATAAATGTATAATGTAAGATGTACTATATGAACAATTATTAATAAAATATGTACCTATATACAAGTAGAATAAGTAAATATGTAAAATAACCGGTATTTATTTATGAAGTAAAGAATTTAATGCATTAGTCACCTAGATTATTTATAATAATATAGCTGTCTAAATTACGATATGTGTATTTTACTAACTTTGTAATTTATGTACGTTAATAATAAGAACAAATATTATACACTATAAGTATAAGACTAAGACAGACAATCAAGGCGTCCCCAGATATACATACACATTCACACTTACAACAATAAACTACTCAATATTACAATTAATACACTTATAATAATATATTCATACAAACAAAATGTTTACTTGGCCAACTTTGTAATTTATATACTATGTACGTTAATAATAAGAACAATTAATACAATTATAATAATATATTCATAGAAACAAAATGTTTACTTGGCCAAGTATAAGAAAAAACAACTTACATAGCTCTTTCGCAGAAATCCAGAAAAATCCAAGAATTCCAACACAAACACAAATCAAGTAAGAGTTCGCAAAACACAGATCACAAAACACACCAGGAATCCACCGTCTCTATACCACGTTGGGCGCCATTTTGTAGCTGGAGGATCGCATGATCGACTCCAGGTCGGGGTTGAACAGAACAGTTGAGACCAGTGAACAACAGGACAATATAATATTTTACAGAACAAAAAAACCCTGAAAAGATACAAAATGATTATTTACACAAGTGAATTATTAAATGATATATATTCTATTAATTACTAATTCAGGAGGCAAGTTATAATATAAGTACTATATTATATGTATTAAAATATCAAGACTATATATTTACATTTAATCCGTTATGACAAAGAATGATATAAATATAGATATCAAACTAACATACCCTAAGACGGGTGCTTTCCAGGAAAATAAATGTGACCATAGAGTTGTAAACTTTACAGACAACACAATTAGGAACGCTATAGTATAAAACAATTAACAAGACATTACACAGGGGATAATATATTTAATCAATGTTTATTTATGAAATATAAAGTTACCTAATTTGCTAATAATTAATTTATTAGTTTAGAATTACTTATATAGTTTAAAATGTCTAGTCCAGTCAAACAAATATTAAACCTACCTTGAAATAAATGATGAATTGTGCTGTAATTAAATAGAGATGTTGATAGTTGACCAGATAATAAAAGAGTGAAGTTAGTAACTAGGATAAACAAAGCAGGTTTCTAAGACACTTAAATCTACTCACTATCTTACAATATCATCTTTAAACTAAACTAAAGTAATTATAACTACTGGAAATACAAGGCTAGCTGGATAAACAGGACAATGGAAACTGACTAAAATCTTTAAACAGAATATAACACCCTACTAAAATAGTTAAAGAGAATACAGCACCCTACTACCGCGAACGCGGTTACAGTTTAGAGATGAAGCACCAGAGCATATATGAAGAACGTCAAAAAACCTCATGAATTATAATAACAATATGCCCTGAAAGAACAAAAATACATTCCATACTAAACTAATGATACAAGTCAATGTTATACAATCTTAATCATATCACAGTAAACCGAATGATTGACTTACATCTTTGGATAAAGTCTATGAATTATTTCATAAAATCATAATATAGAATCATTCATTCTACACACTTTATTTCACAAAATAAAGTCACATATCAAGCATTCATGTGTTTTAAATTATATGTAATGTAAATGTGTCTTACCACTTTGTGGAAATGAGCTGTATGAATCTCAGGAACCAGTCATCCAAGTAGAAAAAGAAGAGTGAGAGAAAATACTAATTCATATCTTTTAATAAAATGCGCCACCCAAATAACCAATCAGAATACAGCAAATCATATCACCTGATAAACAACCTCCAAGTGAAATGTACAACAAAACCTTCCAGAACAAAAGTAACTCCTCAATATTTTAGACTAAGGACACAAAGAACAAATTCCACCAAACATAAGAATCAAATCCTAGTTCCCATAAAACCAAGACCAAAACTTCAAAAGTATAACTACAATAGAAACATATATACACCACAACCCATAACATCTTTTTTGACTTTTTTAACTATGAAAAATAAAACTCGAAATCCCATTAATTAAATAACAAGACCAAACAACCAAACGGACAACGTGAAAAGTAGCAAATTAATCCCCGCTACAATAATTTAACAGTATTCCTTGTCGCAAGACCAGATGACATGACCAACTTGAGATAACCAACTTGTGAAGTACAAATTGATTTACGATTACTTTCTTTAAAAAGCTTTCTATCTGATTTAAATTGTTAAACATATAATTATATGTGTTTTTCAAATAATGGAGCCGGAAAACATTCTCTCCAAGGGAGATTACTCCAACCTACAATTTCATCATGTTAGGATCAAGACCAGTAATTTTCTTCATATGCACTACCCAAGGAAGCAGTTAGAACCTCCTCTCTGACCGAAACGACACAATTTCTTAGACTGACCACACAGAATCACTTTGTTAAACATTGGAGCAACACCAACATTTAATATGAAAGAAGAACTTCCAATTGTAATAGTAACATCCGGCAATAAGTGACCAGAAATCAGCTTAAAACTGATTCCCTTCAGTCGGACGGCTTTCCCTAGCTGCAACTTCTCCACCCCATTCAAAGCATCAACTTGCATCACAACAAGTGGACGGGCAACACTAAGCTCACCCCAGAAGAGCCCCTCCGAACATGAAGAATATTGTCATGCAGTGGACCTCGATTGCTGGTAGGGTGACCCACCATAAATAAATATCTCCAAATATCTCGACAATTACGCCACAATATTTATATATATATACCAAGCCTTAAATCAGTTTCACACAATTATAGTCACTAAATAAACGATCATGCTGTACTTAATAAGCTATGACCATTTAATGATCTATAAATAATAGGCTGAAACTGGTTCCAAGTTTCGTCCATAACATCCAGACACTTTTGAGTAAAAGATAGGTTACGTGCCCCTGTTTTGAAATTCGTCTCGCTTAACCAGTGTACCGACCATTCTACGTCTGATTGACAGGTCGGGATAATCAAGACTACCTTTTTACGAAACATAACAGAAAGCTGGAACAAGAAATTGAATTTATAAAAACGCACGTTAGCCAGCTCAACAATTGTTTTAAGAAGCTTGTAAAAGTAAAATGAAACTACTGCTAGTATCACGTTCCTGCTAACGAAAGTGATTCAGAGATATTATTTGTACTAAACCAAAAGATGCCGCTCTTAATGATAAAGCAATTTAAAAAATAAAACGAACGTAATTTCTAAATCTGCTGTAATAACCAAGAAGCTTAATTTTACTGCTATTCAAAATCGTCTACAATAAATTTTTGACGGCTGTAATAGTTAATAGATTTGTAGAGAATTGCAAGTGCCATGGCTATTTATAGTATTATACTGTCAGAAAGTTGGTCTCGACACGGCTAATGTGCACGCTTCAGTGGTAGTCTCGAACTATCAGCGGTGGACTGTATTGCTGGATGAGAAATGGTGATCACAATTCAAGATAGCGGCTGGAGAAAGTGGTTTTCATCAGCGCTCTGCCTAAAGCAATTCTTCTCAACCTTTTTTCGCCAACGGCACACATTGGAACACATGAAAAAAATAGTGCCACACCTGGCTAAATATATATGAAAAATATTTGAATTTTGCACAATAAAAACATGGCAAGTCATAGACGGCATACAACCGTAGACACAGACTAGTCATAGACACACCCCTGTAAACGTAGGCAGTGATGTTGATAGCTTCCATGAACGATTATAGAAGATTATAGAACTGTCTCGAGCTATTCCACAAAATAATTAAGGACAGATTAAAGATTGATAAGTTGATATTGATAGATGCCGCGCATAGAGTCGGACCCAAATCTTAACCAAACCAGGCTGTTGTCGGACAAGTCCATCCAATACCAACACATCATAGACGCATCATTGTGCGTTTTATGAGACGCGATGAAAGACAATTAGTACAATCAAATAGGAAACAAACTGGCATATCTATATCCGAAGACATGACACAAGTCAATGTGAAACTACAATCAGCTGTACAAAAACACCCCCTTGTGAAATCAGCGTGGTTTTTCGAAATGGTAAGGTTCGAGCAGAGGGCCATAGTGGCAAAACTTGCCATGTTGAATTATACCCTGATGTAAATGATCAACTTATAAAGTATTTATCTGGCTGAAGAAATCTTTAAAAACATGTGCAAAGCCAAATTCTGAATGTTGGTTCAACGTATGGTCGTAATCTGTTAAATATACGAGAATAACCCGAATGTGTGTCTCAAAATTATACTACGCATGCAGATGTCTACCCCCACAGTCAATAAACTTAAAATCAAACTAACAGTTCAACTGCTGTGCACACTTCGATGTTCATAATTGGCTACCATATTCTTTGTCATCTACTCGCTTGTTTGAAGTACATGTAAAACCCATGACAGCTATGATAGATGTGCAGATACTGTTATAATAATGCCTGTCGCTGTGTCCACAAACACTAAACTCTACAGCTGATGTGTTCCACCCTTTTACCTCATTTCCTTGTTATCTTATGAGGATTATAGACTAGTTACTGAATACAAAAAAATTATTATATCATTGTATAATATAACATAGCTCCACCTATATATTCTTATGTAATAATGTTAGGAATTGTATAAACTCCAATTGTTTATAAACTGGAAGTATACTAAAATACAATTGTCTTCATGATCACTATCCCTCTTTCTTTCCTTGATTACAGCAAGTGCATTTAATGAGTAAAATTGTATAGTAGCAGACAGCTTTTTTATTTGAAGGACCTTTTAAATATCGAAAATAAATTTAATCATTACAATTTCAAAGAGCATATTTCAAGTAAATGTAATCATATATGTACGAACATATATACTTCCAGCTAAATTTGTTAATACTTAAATATTCTGTACATATAAGTATATTGTATATTCATAAACCTTCCACCATTTTTTTATATGTGCCTTTTACATACCTTACATCATTCCACATAAATTGATAGAGATAGCACACTTAAGCTTGAGACAAACCTGTTTTCTAAAGCACATCATGTAAAACCTTGTAAAATTGTTTGATAGCATAACTATAATCAAAAATCCAGACTACGGTAAATATGTTAATCAATAAAGATATGTGAATTTAGATATAAACGTCATATGTAGCACTTGATAACTTTTAAAAAGGAAAGATTTCGCTGGCACAATTATAATTCATTGAAAAATGTTAACATGAAATAAATACAAAACGTTAAATTTCAAGTATAAACTCCAATTGTGTGGTGTACACACAAAACCAGTCCCCTGCTCATTTGATAAACGCACTCACTCTGTGACTTCTGTCACAGACATAATTACCGTTATAATGTTGTCTTGATTGAAAAAACCAAAAGCAAAATCCCACGCCCGAAAAGGTGGCACAAAAAATCTAATTTCTGTGATATAATATTGGTTACACGTTCTTGTAAATAAACCTAGGTATTTGAATATTATAACCATTATCACCATCCACAACTATTAGTATTATATATATGCATTTATACAATATATGTGGACCCATCACGGCATAATGAGTCGCAATGAGGAATTTTTTAAAATTGAGTTATTGTTATTTTGACATTCTCCAGCTCAATACCTTCAATTTGAATCGGGCAAAATCTGACTGAGCTGTGTCCGTTTGAAGCCACCCAAATCACCAAAGTAAGTTTAGAGAAAATTTCAAAAATCAAGTCAAAGATTTGTTATGTTTCAAAACAAAATCCCATGGCAACCAGGCCATTTATTTGCTGTTTTGTCGTTGAATATTGTTTTCTAAAGGTTTTCAGGGGTGCTGAAGACGAAAATTGTAGTAAAAATTTAATCCAACAATTTCCGCCATCTTTTTTCAAAATGGACGCCAAAATGACAAATTTTCAAGTTTTCACAAGCTTTGTGTTTACTAATGTCATTGTATGTGTTTTTAGGGGTGCTACATCCAAAAATTGTAGTACCAGATTTTATCCATGAAAATGGCGACCAAAATGACAATTCTTATCTGGAGAGCATGCACTGGAATAACCGAGAAATAGGCAATTTTGTATGAGTCAATTATCTTTCGATTTTCATTTGATGCCTAATGCCCATTATGACTAGGTCAAACAAATTTACAGTGTTACTGGAAATGACGTCTTTTGGACAAAAACTATATTTTTAGCCTTAAAACATATATTTTATTCAAATGAGTCTTATTAGGGTTTCACACTGCGTAGCTTGTGTGAAACACTATTGTTTTTGTTCGGATTATTATTCTTCTTCTTCATATTATTATTTTTCCATTTGAGCATATCTCAGAAACTACTCGTCCGATAGTGGGTTTGACTTAAATTTTAAAGCTATTTCTAACGTTCTGCGTCAATGCGAAATGTCCGAAATCACCGAAGTTGTCGTTTTTCGAAATTTTGCCGTAATGGTTTCAACAATGGTCGGATTGTAATATACTATTCAAAAAAAGTAGGGGATATTTGATTTTTAAGCGTTATTAAAGTCACCTAATGAAACTGACGAAGAAACAAATGACAAAATGAAATGAAGTTCACATTCATCGATTTATTCCAAATGATCGTTAGACTAAGTAAGGCACAGACTGACCATTATAAGGGTAAAATGATACCCGGAGTCAAACAGCAAAGTTACCACAGCATCACAACCAAGTCAGTAACGGGTAAATCCTCCTCTGTTTGCCAAACAAGCATTGATCCGACGTGGCATACTCCTAATGAGACGTCTAAGGTCATTTTGGTCCAGATTGTCCCATTCCTGTTGCAACGCAGCAGCAAGTTCTTGGACATTGGCAGGACGTTGTTGACGTTGACGTAACCTCTGTCCAACCATGTCCCAGACATGCTCGATGGGGGAGAGGTCGGGACTCAGTGCTGGCCAAGG